GCCTTGCTGAGTTCCAATAATGTTCCATTTTTTTTCCTTTCTCTCCCCTAAAATCTACTAAACAGATTTCTAAAAGTAAGCAGAATGAACACCTCATCAAGATGCTACTTAGAGCTGGTGCATGTGTCAATGCTCAAGATGATGTAAGTGCATCTATTCATGTAATCTAGATGACAGTTTGGGTGGTAGCTGGATGTGACCCATAAAAATCTTTTCATTTTCCTAAGGATGAGGCAGAATCATTTTCCCCACTTATGATTTCCCCTAGATCAGGCCTGTCAAACCGGAGGCCTGGGTGGTGGTGGATGCATCACGTGTAGACCAGGCCCACCCCGGCTCCACAAAACCAAAAAACAACAACGTTGTGATACCTCACATGCCCTATATGGAGAAAAAAATGGCAGGAATTGCTTCCTTCTTTTTGTTTGGAACCAAAGTCAGCCAGCTTAGATGAGATCAATCAGGGTCAAGTAGACTAAAATATTACACCTTACTACCCTTTCAGACTGTCTCCAACTTTGCCATTTCCTAGGCAAATTGTTCAGCTGTTTTTTTTTTGGGGGGGGGGTTGTTTTTCTTCACAAAAAAAAAAGCAGCAAAGCAACCAGGGAAAATAGGATCCTATTAGATGCAGTTGGCTGGCTGCTAGTTGTGCCTTTCCACTTATCAACTGAGTGGTTCAGTGTTGGAGAAGTACATCAGTCAGGATGCTTGTGCCGCATGACAAAATTACCACAGAGGGTTTGAAGTGTGAGGCTTGTAGTTGTGTGAAAGTGCTATTAGATTTATATTTTAACAGTTTTACATGCAATAGGATAATTTAACATGTTTTCTCAAGGGTTATTATACAGAATGAGGACGCCTTCCAAATACTGCAGAGGTCTACTACCTAGCCATGTAGTTAGGTTGCAGGTACTGTTCTTAAAAAAAGAAGGTGAAATAGCTTCTTTTTCGTTAAAACCCCAAAGCAAAACAAACAGAAGAGTCCACGAAGACTTCAAACAGAAGAGTCCACGAAGACCTTTATAAAAGAATTGTGTCTCCTGAGCAATTATGGTTTACTTCTGTTAGAACGTTGTGGTTTCACCTGCTCCAACTCTCTAATTAAAACCACACAATATTGCATAGTAGGGGTAAAACCTTATTTTTATTTCAGTTTGTTTGTTGGGAATAATATAGGACTAGACTTTTGAATCTGTCCTGGTACAATATTGTACTCAGCTTCAGGATTATGATGGAATAATATGGTTTTTCAAATCATTTTAATGCAATTAAAGAATACAGGTGAATACTTACAGAAAAAAATCCTAATTCTTGAACTAATTCAAAAACAATTAATAGGCTATGTAAATTCATCCTTGGTTGCAATTTAATGCAACATTTGAAGAAGTTGCTAAATTTTATTTTTACTGTTGCAACCCAATGTAGACTGAGTTTATGAATTATGATGGTTTTGTTTTGATATTTTTAATTTAATTTATTTTTAATTTTTTAAGTTAACTTATTTTATTTATGGAGCCATTTTGCAGTAGAGTCATACATCAATGGCCAATGTATAAATGAATGAAACAACAGAGCAAAAGTATAAATATATGATAATTCAAGAGCTTGCAAGAAATAATTCCTTTTTTAATTTTATACTTACTGAGAAGTATTTTAGGTAAAGGTACAACTTATTCCTGAACAATATGTATTATGTTTTTCCCCCTCTAGTCAGGACGGACTGCCCTCCACTATGCTTGTGAAATGAAGAATCAATCCATCATTCCATTATTAGTTGAAGCAGGTGCTGACCTTTCCATAAAGGACAAGGTATGGTAAACTAGTCTTATTATGATTTTGATCTCTAGCTCATCCTCTGTGATTTGGACTATTCCTCTACTAAGAAAGAGGAATCTATTTATGAACCATGGTGATGCAGTGGTTAGAGTGCAGTACTGCAGGCTACTTCTACTGACTGCCAGTTGCCTACAATTTGCAGATTGAATCTCACCAGGCTCAAGGTTGACTTATCCTTCCATCCTTCCAAGGTGGGTAAAATGAGGACTCAGTTTGTTGGGAGCAATATGCTGACTCTGTAAACCACTTAGAGAGGGCTGTAAAGCACTGTAAAGTGGTATATAAGTCTAAGCACTATTACTGTTGCTATTTTAGAAAAGAAAAAAAATAAGTGGGTCTCTTTTCTACCAGGGGCAGTACAGTGACCCAGTGGTTAAGATGCTGGGCTTCTCAGCTGGAAAGTTGACAGCCAGGGTAGAAGACCCAAATGCTGTGTGACAGGGTGAGCTTTCATTATCATCACCTCAGCTCCTGCCAACTTAGCAGTTCTTAACCATGCAAATGCAAGTAGATAAATAGGTACCACTTTGATGGGAAAGGTTTCTGTGTTCTGTACTTCCACACGGGCCACATGATGGCAGAAGCATCTCTCAGACAATGCAGGATCCCTAGCTGAGAATTGGAGATGAGCATTGACACCTTGAGTCAGTCACAACTGAACAGGAGAACCTTTAAACCTTCTTTTCTACCATTTTCCAAGATTTTCCTCTTCTAGTTTGCTAATTGAGGAAAATGTGAATATTTGTATTACGAATTAATGTATTACAAGCAATTACATTTGGAGATTTTGATCCAGGTTATGTTGGCCAGAAATGGCTGATGTTCAAAACCACATGGAAAATGCCAACAAGCAAGAAAAGTAGCAAGAAAAAATAGCAAAAAGGGGGAAAGAAATGATAAAAAGGAATTAAAACTAGTTATGCAACATTCATCAATATTTTAAAAATTAATCCACTTACTATCGATCATGTGTAAGCAAACCAGCACTCCCCTTGTAGCTTTTTGATGAGAACATTCAGAATCATTTGCTATGAAGATTAAAATTAGCAATCCTAGCTACCTATGCTGGTCGTAGATAATTTTAAGTTTCCCATAGGGAGAATAATATTTAAAGCAGTTAGACCCCTTTAACAATTTTAATAAGGCAGTTAAAAAATGAACAGCGGTAGATGCAAGCACTTCATATTGACTCATCCATACCAAACTTCCAATAACACAGTTAAAAATTAACATGGAACATAAAGTCCAGCGAAAGCATTCAATTACATGTATAACATGTGTGAACACCGATTAGTGATGAAACCTTACGCCCACAGAAGGCGCAGATTAACATACGGTTGTTTCTGCATATTCAAGAGAGGCTTCACTCAATTGATGGCAACCGCTTCAGTGAACCACAGAAAATGAGAGTTCCTATAATGCAATAAACTCTGAATGCGATATTTGGATCAACCTGGTGACCCGTAGCTAGTCATGTCTTGTGGTAGCAGAAGAGGCATTTTATGGCCATGATTTGAAAATAATATTGTTTAGCAATAGCTTAGCAGAAGTAAGTGATATTTTAGACGTGTACCTGTATGCCCCCACCCTAATAAAATAATATCATAAAATACTATTCAAATGTTTCCTCTGTGTGAAAGTCAATCACTATACAAGGAGTTTTATTTCTCACTGATAAGGCGCAAGTCACTTTTTGTCATATAGGTAGGAAGCATCACTTACCTTTTGATCAAAATTCTTTTAGTTTGACCTAACATTGAAGAGATTGGCTTCAAGTGATAATCTTACCTGTATTACCATTAGCTACTGGTTTCAGACTATCTGGACAATTTCCAACATTTCTCAAATAAAGCTTTCCACAAGCTTCTAAAATTTGCACTGAAAAGATTCATCAAAATTTTGAAGCAAATAGAGGAAAGTTCTAATAGTAGATTAACACAATTATGTAACCACAATGGAGGTGGTCATTCGATTAACATCAGATCCCACTTCCTTCCCCCTCAACCTGCCCCTGTCCTCCCCATCTTTAATTGGATTGTAGTATTTGGCTTGTTTTAACTTATTTATGTTTTGTTATATTTATATTTATCATTCATGATTATGAGCCACCCAGAATTACCTTGTGGTTAGAAAGGTGGCCAAAGAAAGAGAAAGAAAAAAAAGAAAGATTATTACTGCCTCCCAGAACTTGTAATATTTGCTTCAAGAGTCATTATTGGATTCTATCAAAAATGAAACTATTCTGCATAAGTTACAATGAAATAACTGTCTTCTTGGCAATAGTACTCTTGCAAATATCTAAAGTTGGTCAAGTTAACTATCTATGGAGATTCTCAGTCATGGTTGTCCCAAAGGTGCTTTGGCAACTGGACTTTCTTTTTTTTCTTTGAGGATGTTTGCTTTTCATCTAAGAAGCTTCTTCAGCTCTGGCTGGATGGTGGGGAATGGAATCCAGTCAGAGCTGAGGAAGCTTCTTGGATGAGAAGAGAAACTTCTCCAAAGAAAAACAAGAAAATCCGGTTGCTTCTTGAGAAAGCACCTTTGGATTGGCCAAGTTAGATTTTATATATATTGATGCTTTCTTCATTTACTATTTTCACTTTTGTTGATTTTATCTCTTTATTTCAGGATGGAGAGACTCCATTGGACATGGCAAGAAGATTAAAGTTCCTCAACATAGAACATATATTAAAGAAGGATTCCTAGATCGCTGCATCAGACATTGTCAGAAAAGCTTCAACCCATGGGGCCAATTCATTGTGATAAGTGTAATTCCTTTTACAATTTCAAGTGACATCAAGCAGCCAATAAGCTTATGCAAAAGAAAACCATGGGTATCATGGGTGATGAATTCAAAATGATAGCGGTTAATTTTGTAAGCATCCAAATATTATTTTTATTTTCATGATCATTTTCTTGCTAAAGTGCAAAGTTTGCAAGAGTATAAGTCAGTGTTTTTTCAAACCTGCCAACTTTAAGATGTGTGGACTTCAATTCCCAGAATTCCCCAGCTAGTTGAAATCTGCACAGTGGTTATGAATTTGAAAATCATTGAGACATATTATTAGGTCATATTATTGATTTCATTGGTATTACATTGTGCTATTTATATGTGTTGTAATCCAAAACAGATTTAGCAATAAAGATCTGTTGTAAATTGACTTTTGGTCTGCCAGAAGGTATGTGTCTATTTTGTTTTGAATATATAGAATAGTAATAGAACAAGGAGACAATGCGCTTTCACTCCTGGGAGTTGCCAACTTCACATGGGAATGGAGACAGAACAGCCACACCCCACTAATTCCTTTTACCTTTGTTATTTATTTTTTGAGCAGAATGACACAATCTCTTTAAATCAGGGGTGTCCAACCTTGGCAACTTTAAGACTTGTGGACTTCAACTCCCAGAATTCCTCAGCCAGCAAAGCTGGCTGAGGAATTCTGGGAGTTGAAGTCCACAAGTCTTAAAGTTGCCAAGGTTGGACACCCCTGATTTAAATGTTGAAGAATACTCAAAGGCATTCAAATAAACCTTGTTGAGATTTTCCTGCTTGTCTTAGTTCTACTCTTTATTGCCAATTTATCTCCTATTTCATTTCCTCGTTGTTAGTTTTTTATTCTTCTCATTTTACAGACTGCTTTTCTACGACTTTCTGGTTGTGGACATTAATAAAGAAATGGACACATTCTATTAAGACAGGGAGAGATCCAAAAAGTATTCGTGTTAGGCAGTGAGGTTGCACCGCAACATTTTTTTTGCCGATGTATCACTATCTCCATCTGCAGCTCCATCTCTGTCTTCATTTCTGTACAGGGTGGTATGCATTAAAAATGGAAATCCTTTAAGTATTAAACAAAACTGTGAAAACCATAGTAAAACTCAGAATTAAAACCACCCAAAACTAATAAATACAATGACTAAAAGCCAGTCTAACAACATGAGCCTTTATAATTCTTTCAAAGACCTCTAAGAGGCTAGACTTTGATTTTCTGGTGGTTTCTCTTTCTAATATAGCTTGCCCAGAGTAATTTTGGAATCAGGGTCTTCTAATTCTCACCAGTCAATCAATGAAAGCTACAAGAAAACCCTTCCTGAATTTAGGGTAACAAAATTAGAAGGCTCATTAGAGGTTGTTGACAGATGTCTGGGAACTCTTCTGATTCTTTTAATGAACAGGAAAAAAAATCACCTCAGTATTTTATATTTTACCCAGAAGCATATCAGCCAACTATGATAAGTTCTTAAGCTGGTATACTTAAGAACAAACATAACACAGTCTCCTTTAACAGATCAACAACCAATCTCGCTGCTGCATCTTGAATTAACTGAACTGTCCAAGGTATATATTGTAATAGTTACATTACCACTTTGTACAATAGTGTTTAGTGTCCTTGACTTACAACTGCAATTGAGCCCAAAATTTCTGTTGTTAAGTGAGTTATTTGTTAAGCGAAGTTTGCTCCATTTTATGAACTTTCTTGCCACAGTTGTTAAGTGAATCATTGAAGTTGTTAAATCCGAACAACGTCCCAAAAAAATCTAATTAAAAATGCAATCTGGGTTTAGCATAGTCTTTGCATTAGACATACTAATCTTTAAATATTAAAAGTGCAATATTTTATGTACAACCAAGCAAGGCATGTAATAATAGACACAATTTCTATAGAAAGCTTCACTACTCAATAGTATAGTATCTATACTGATTGTGTATGAGAATTTAATTTGTTTCTCAATTGTAGAGTAATAAGATAAAGAATTCAGAGGAGATGGGAACAGTTTGAAGAACTGATTTGTTAATGTAAATACTATTTGGAGAAATAGTGTTAAGTCAAGTTGCAAATATTTATTCAACTAATTAATCAATTCAGCTGCATTAAGACTTCAAGGTGTGTTTTTAAATTGTCATCATACAACATGCTTTCTATGTACATCACTGCTGAGGAATCATGGATATCTTTTCATTATCTCAATGATACGCATGTACATAACCTCAGTTGCATCAAGTCCCCAAATGTAATCTAGATGTTGCCATTCAGGAACATGTTGGTGATATATGACGTTACTAAGCCGTGCTATTAATGCCTTGACATCTTTTATGTTCACAAATAAGTCATTTCCACCAGACCAGAGTGCAACAGGTATTTTTATATCTTCTATCTTGTATACAGGAGGAGTCATCTGGGAAGAAAAGCAACAAATCTGAATAATTAGTCAAAAACTGAAGGAAGACATTGCAAATTACCACTTTAAAAAAAGTTGGTGAGCAAGCAGACTAATAGGAATTCAGTGCAAACACTAAACCTGTGATGAAACTGAAGGGTATGGGTGTGTGTGGTTTATATGTTTTTTTTTAATTCTGATGTTTCTCTTCAATACATAGCTGATTAGTTCAGAGGCCCAGAAAGGAAGAACATTCTGCCATTGGTCCAAAAGAGAACATACTGTTAGGAATATAAGTCACCTAACAGGTATTTGGGTTAGAATTATATAAACCAGGATAAACATTTTAGTACTATGTCTTTAAGAGATTGCAAAAAATGCAATTGGGTGTGGTTTCTCAAACGGCCATAAGATGGAGCCAGAAACCTGGTTTGTTTAGTCTGAGTCTCAGAAG